AGTGTGCGTGTGCGTGTGTGTGTGGCTACACAGTGTTACAGTACCAGTGTGTGTCTCTCAGTAATGGCTGGGAGATGGGGGTAATCGTGCTGTTAATTGCGGCTGATGAGCTGACTCAGGAGCTGGGCCTGGACTGGTCTACTGGTTCTGGAAGTGGCCCGGGGGGAGTTTGGGAAGGAGGGGGGCAGGACACTGGCTGGGTGTGAAGATGAAGTGGAGAGAGAGACAGATCGCGCCACACAGCTGGCGTCCGGACAGGCGCGCTGATGCCCAGAGAATATTTCCACAATCCAACCACACGAGTAATAAGTGTGAACAAAAGCCGTGCGGATCAGAGGAGGACGCAGCTCTGCAGCAGCCGCCTGTGATTCTGCTGGGGTTCCCAACGGGGCGACTCCTGTCACTGCTGGGCCGGCGCTGGCAGGGGGCGATCCTTCTGATCGCGGCTTTGTGCTCTGGCCGCTGGTGGCGTGGTGCAGCTGCTTTGAAGTTTGATTGACAGGGACATGAGAGGGGAGAGACGGGGAGAGGAGAGAGGAGAGAGAGCAGATCGAGGGAGGAGGGGAGGGGAGATGGAGAGAGAGGAGGTGGAGAGGGGAGAGAAGAGATGGAGAGGGGAGAGGGAGAAAGAGCCCTCGGGTGTCGGAGACAGATGAGAGAGAGAGGCAGGAGGGGGAGAGAGGGGGACAGGGGGAATTCATGAAGGAGGAATATTGTTAAGGGTGTTTGATGAGAATCCGTGTGAATAATGGATGAGGAGCCTCCATGTCATCTCCAAGCTCAGATGGCATTATTATTTTCACGGGGGTGTCACAGTACAGTCACACAGAGCCCCCCTGCTCTCCGTCCCACTCCCTCACCTGTCTGGGTGGCTCACTGCAGTGGCAGTTAGCACTGCTGCCTCAAAGCGCACTGATCCCGGGTTCGATTCCGGACTGGGGGGTCCCCCGTGGCCTGTTTCCTCCCCCCCCTCCCAGATGGAGCCCTGTGATGGACTGGACCGGCCAGCGGTCGTCCAGCGCCGGCCAGTCACCTTCACGGCCACAGCCGGCACCTGTCTGGAAACCGAAGGACGAATGTCGCTGAGGTCTGACTGGCCACTGTGGACGAACCCCGCTGGCCTGCAGCTGTGAGTGACCCCTGACCCCTGACCAGCCGCCCGCAGACGAGAGGCCAGTCAGACCTCTTAGCTCCTTTGGCTGCTTGTTCCCTTGTTCCACACTCCCTCCACCCTTTGTGTAAAGATCGATCTCCTGTTTTCAGCACTTCTCTGTAGTTTCCCCCTGTGTTCTGTGATTCATGTCTCACTGTTGATCTGGAGACGTCCGCCGGCTTGACTGCCAGTAATTGTGAAGATTGTGAATGCTTGCTCAGATCCCACAACACTACCTGGGACACTCCCTTCAGACTAAAGAGACTCAGTTCCTCCAGCCTGACAGTGTGGGACACTCCCTTCAGACTAAAGAGACTCAGTTCCTCCAGCCTGTCAGTGTGGAACATTCCCTTCAGAC